TGAATTCCTTTGATAGGGAAAATCCTGGGTGTGATATATACGTGGACATGATGGAAGCAATTTTCAAAAAACAAAGTTTATCTGCCACGTTTACTCAACAAAAATCCATGCATCTTATCTCCATGGATTGCTCAACACCAAAAAAACACAAGTGAATGATCATTTTATTAGATGCTTCAAAAAGTTTATACAGTGATTCGAATGTAAATACATAACATTAAGATGGACTTAACTGTTAGTATTTATTTACTGGGTAAACTATAACTTTAACTCCTTAACTATCACTATTATTCTATTTCGGGCATTCAATTATTTATTTCTTTTAAAGTCATACTCAACGTTACATTTTTTCATTCTAGTCATTCACCGTCAAAAAATCAATAGAATTACTTATATGACATATTTTTTAGTGTTGATGTGACATTTTCTTATGGTGATACATTAACATCACTATTGATTTTTTAATTAACGGTGGATAACCAAATCTAAACAATATGTATAATTTTGAAAAAATGGTTGAATGACAAAAAAAAAACGAAATGAAAGTGGTAATTGAGTTAGAAACGTCTAATTTACCCTTATTTATTTGGCTTATATCACAAATACGTACCTAAAGCATACTTTTTTTATTTAATTACCTAAAATATTTTTGGTCAAAATAAATACATTAAATTATCTTTTTGGTGAAAATAGATACCTAAACTATTTTATGTCAAAACTATTTAAACTTTTTTTTATCTAAGTTCTAAAAAAGTTGACATGTGACATTAACTAAAGAATACTATAGGTACTTAGATGAAAAAAATTGAATACTTTAAGTATCTATTTTGACCAAAAAGATAATTTTAAATACCTATTTTTGACAAAAAAATACTTTAGTTACTTAAATAAAAATGATGACGTCCTTAGAAAGAAAAATAATGTTTTTATTAACTATCGACGGATCATGTTGAGTTACAGAGGACTTGTTCTTTTAAATTTTTAGAAAATTAATATTAATTTTAAAAAATAATAATAATTTGACACTTTTAAAAATTTTATTATGTTTTCATATTCTGAGTAAAGTATAAAAATGGTACCCGATAGTAGGACGTAGCTCTGTTAAGTCTTCTGATTATTAAAAGTTATAAAATAGTCTTCAATTATAAGGTATTGTTTTATTGAGTCTCCCTATTATTAAAAGTTACAAAATGATCAACTGATTATTCATATATTTCACACTCATCCTTTTTCGATAAAAGATTGACGGTCGTCTGAGCTGGACGCTAAGCTGCTAATGGTGATATGATAAAATTATATTTTAATAATATCTACTGGTACCATCGTTGCTTTCAAACACTGGTTTGATGACATAATGTTTCAAGTACCGGCTCAACAATATAATATAAATGAAGAGCCGATCCATAAAAAGCATATCAAATGGTTTTGAGATTAGATTTTATCATATCTCAATCAACAGATTATTGTCCAGCTAAGATGGCCGTCAAAATTTTAATAGAAAATGATGAGTTTAGAACACATGAATAGTCCGATGACCATTCCAGAGGCGGACCAATGACAAAAATTTAGAGGTTGCACAAAAATTCAGGCGTATCCCAATTCCTACAAAACTGAAAATAGATGTTTGATTCATGAGCTTAAGGTTTTTTTGGGTTTGATCTCTTTTTTTAATTTTAAATAAGATATTAATTTTTTCTATAATAAAAAATAACAGTTACACACAATATTAGGGGTGACACTTGTATTAATTAGAAAAAAATAGAAAAAATTAACACTAAGTAGACAATTTTGAGGGGTTGTCTGGAATACCCAAGGTAACTATAAGGTCCGCCCCTGAACCATTCTGTAACTTTAATAGTCAGGATACTCAATAAAACAGTATCATATAATCTATGGACCATTTTATAATTTTTATTGGTAAAAATTCAACAAAATAGTATTTTATAATTAAGAGACCATTTGTGTACTTTTTACTAAATGTTTTAATTAAGTCTCCAAAAAAGGGAAACTACTCCCGAGAGTGGAAAATAGAAACTACTCACGAAACTCCCATGAATTCAACAGGTTAGAAAGAGAGGTATATAATTGGTTGTTCTTAGTGCTTGCAGTTTTTGGGTTTTGGCAATGCTCATCAATATAATACTATAAAATATTGACTCGTTCTTCTTCCCTCAATAACCAAAATTAATCACTCCAGACTTGTACTTAATTAAATATTCAGCTTTCTGTTTTCTCAGGGCCCCCACTTTCCTTCTCACTCTCACTTATTCAACCACGAAGCTGCACTCTTACTTACCAGTCTTATTCTTCTGCAACCCCTAAATTTCCTACATACTTTCACTCTCTGATTATATTCCATGATATCTGCTATAAATCCAATACCTTATTCTCCTTTCTCATTTCCTTTTAACACTCACAAATATGTTGAATAACAGTGAACGGCAGTTCACGTTAGAGATGACGGTGGTTTCAGCTCAAGGGCTTAAGAACCCTTCTTCTTTTCTCTTCTCTCACCGTGTCAGGCCCTTCATCACAATCACCACCTTCCCACCGTTAAACGCTGCCGGTTTTCAAACGAGGGTTGATGATAAAGGTGGTGTTAACCCTACTTGGGGTGACAAATTCCATGTTCCCATTCATCATAATTTTTTTGCCAATCGATATTCTTGTGTAGGTCTCCACTTATTCACTAAAAGGCTCATTGGCGGACAGGCTCTACTGGGCTGGTGCCATATTCCGGCCGCCGACATAGGGATGCCACCGGTGGGATCAGTTAGGCAGCTAAGCTACCGGCTGAGGGCAGCTGATGGTACGAGGACTCATGGGGTTGTCAACGTTAGGGTGAGGTTGGAAGGTCACATTCATTCAAGTGACACGTTTACGACGGTTATTGGTATACCGGTGACGGTAGGGCCGCATGTCAAGGAGATGGAGTCCACTTGAAGAGAGTGATAAGTGGGAGAAATGTGGGGCCCAAGTCGACTCTGCTATCCGTTCGTTGCAAGTATTGTGGGATAGGATTATAATTTGATCGGTTGTACTTTTGGGTTTTCAATGTTGTGGTCCTTGTGGAAACTAATTACTTCTTGAAAGGTTTGGTTTTTTAAATGTAAATTATTTTTTAATATAAGATTATTAGAATGTAAGATTGTTTTAAATATTATTAAAAATTTTGTATTATTTAGTTTGATTGATTTAGTCGTGATGTAAGGTTATGATCTTTGGTCCGTAGAATATGAAAATTATTTAAAAATGCATTTTATTAAATTAATTTTATAATGTATTTATTTATTATAAAAATAATTGAATTTTTTATTAATAAAATTAATGAAAGGAAATAAAATTATATCGTGCCAAAGGAGAAATTTGGGGCCAATACTCACAAAAAAGTCATACATAAAACAAATTTTTTTTATTTGCACGAAAAAAAGTCTAAAATAACACTTAGATTCAACCTTGTTAAAAAAACCCCTAACTCAAATGAGAGAAAAAGTGTCAACACCTAATAAGGAAACAAAATCATACAACAAGAACAACAAAAACATAGCACAACAAACAGCTAACAACATCTGTCAAGAATCCACTGGACTAACAAACACATCTGATGCAAAAGATTGAAGAAACCTGATCCAACCCCCATGCGTTGAATACATTAAACCGAGACGAATCATAACAAGCTAACCAAAATGCCATAGATTTACCCGAATGGGAAAATTCCTTTGAATTGGATAGACTTAATCATATTAATCCTCTTATTGATATTTATAAACAACGACCGCCATTTTAAAGGACGTAAGGAAAGACTGAAAATCCAATGAAACCACAATCAGATTGTCTGATCCTAGTCAACCAGCTTCAGAAAACCCATCCAATGCCAATTTAAAACCTCCACAGCCTCCGATCCCTCGTTAGCCACACCAACAAACAAAGAAAAACGAAACCTTTCATTGAGAATAACGTCCAATATCAAAAGAATCTAATAACTTTCATAGAAATTTTGGTCTCTATAAAATATGATGTTTTACGAATTAATAAAAGAGTAACAAGTGAACGAAACAACTTCACAAAATGCTTTACTACACAATTCTGATTATATCGACAAACAACATTTAACCAAATATGATATATGACAATACGTGACCATTAACAAACCAATCAGAAAATAAATGTCATGAGGTTTTTTGTACGAGCGTCAACACAACAGAGGTATGCAAAAAAGTTCCAAAATCCATAATCAACGTGCCACAATAGTAGAGGAAAAAACGTGTCACAAGAGCAAAGAAAAACGTGTTAGAAGAACATAGATTCTTATTTAAAATTAAAAAAAACTCAAGAAAAAAAGAAAAATAAATGACATACTATGAAAAAAAGAAAATAATAATCACTAGTGGTCGACAATTAATATTAAAATTGATATGATCACCTCTTAAACAAAAATCAAAAGAAAAGATGAAGACACCACAAAAATAAAAGAGAGAAAATCCTAATTTCTTAGATAATTTTTTTAAAACAAAATTAATATTAAACATTAAATTAACAGGACTTAATGTACAATTCAAGGAATATTTTTATAAGATTCTATCTAACTTTTATATTTAATATGGTATTAATAAAATTATATTAAATTATATTTAAAAAGTGTGTTATCGAGACAATATGTCTGTCTATATTTTTCATGTCATGCCTTTATAAGAGTAAACTACGAAAATAATCATTAATGTGACAGATTATTCAAAGTAAATTAAATAAACATAAGTGCAAAAAAATAAAAGGAACTTTTATGTTTCATATTTTATTTGGAAATATAAGTGCAAAAACAAAAATAAATAACTTTTATGTTTCATATTTTTTGGGAAACATAAAAAGAGCTTTTATATTTCATATTTTGCTTGGAATAAATGCGTCTTAAATCTATTTATGTTTTATAACACCCTAATTACTCTATGTATTTTTTTTAGTAAAATGTCGGCATGTATTATTGAATGAAAAGGAGTCAGGTGTGGCCCAAAACAAAGCAATAAAGCGTCATAAGTTCTCACAAACCGAGGAAAGTAAATAAATAAAATTTAATGAAAGCAAAGTAGAAACAGGAGAGTAGAGAAATGGAGAAACAAAAAATGCCGACTGATCTTCTCCTTGCAAAGATAAAACATTTAGCAGGAACATCAAGGGAAGTTCAAGAAACGCTGCAACAATTGAACCTTTCTACGGCAAGAGAGATTTCCAGTTACTACGGAGGGTCCAGAAAGCGACGATACTCAGCAACTTGGAAGGTCACTTGTCTCGGTGCTTATTCTATCCAGAAGAGGTTCACATTTCTGATCGTTGATCACCTGCTAGGAGATGCGCCGCACGGTTGCATTCTCTAGGAACGAACTTGTATTCTGACGAACGAAGAAGACCAGAGAGACCTTTCGCTTCACTAATCCACCCACTAATCTCCGAAAAATCATATTCATCGAAGGAAAGTTACAGGATCACAGCACGAAAGTCTCCTTCAAAAATTGCATACAGGAACCCCATGTCCACCGTAAGCTGAACTGCATGAACCGCTGCCACCGCTACTGTTGCAAAGGCTGAGGTAATGTTATTTGTTCTTCGTCTGCAAGCCTCCAAGATTTTTCTTTTAGATTCTCGAATAACAACCCCTCACCATGATATGTTTTCTGGTGGTCTGAAATGGGCGTCAAAGTTAACTTTGACCATAGGTACGATTGGAGGAACCCACTGTGATGTTGTAACTTTGGGTGGAGCATGAATACGGGCATTAGCCAGCCCAAAATCAGTGTACTGGGATCTAACGAAGGTAACTGTTTTCACTGCATTTATTTGTCGTCCTTCATCATAATGCCTATTAGGTGCGTACCAAATCGCCCAAATAGCTATTAATATTTGTCCATGCTTTACACCGGGATTATTACCAAACATCCAATGCATCCAATCATAACATGTCCACTGAGCATCAGTAATGGGTAATTGGAATTGTAGCAACTGCCAGATTGCGTATGTAAAAGCCCATCCATAAATAACATGAATAGCTGTTTCAGGATATAGACAACATACCGGGCAAGTAGGGTTTGGCATATACGTTTGACATAAAGATTCTGTCGAGTAGGCACATAATTCCTTGTAAATTTCCACCCCTGAACTCGTATTTTCTGCTGGCAATCACTAGCCCATAGGCATCTATAAAAATGCACATCTTCATTACCAACAATAAGTAAAAGGAAGCGATACCCACTACGAACACTATAGTGGCCAGATTTCTCACCACTCCACACCTGCTTATCTATGTGTTCAAAACAAGATAGAAAATTTCGTACATCTTCCTTCCATTCGCGTACCTCACTACCAATCAGATCGAAGACCCTATCAATAGAGTTGACTGATGGACTGGAAATCTTATTCTATGGGTAAACAGGTGTAATCACCATTTTTACCTTAGACTCCAGCAACTGCCAACACCCCAACCAAGCCGTGGATTCCCTTGCTCTACGTTTCAGCAGCTTCAACAACAGTTGTCCCTCCACCTGTGGATTCCAGCAGCTTCCAGTAGGAGCCAGCTGCCCTTCCTCGTTCTAGCACAACCACCACGCCCATGGTCCCAAATGCTCCACGTTGTCGGCAGCTCCTTCCGTGGCCACCAATGCCACACGCCAATGTTTAGCTCATCATAACAAAATAAAAAGAGTGTAACTTTTTATTATTATTTTACATGTAAAATGGGGTTATAAAAACCCTAGAACAGTATATAATTTTATAGACCAACAGCAATTAATCAGCAGAGATTACATTTTTAAGGTTTACTTCCCCTTTGAATCTTTTTTTTATTGTTATTTTCGAACTAGAACAGTAGTAATATTGTAAACACAAAAGAAAAACAATGGATTCAAAATACATCAAAAAGAAAAAAAAAACGAAAAACTGTTTTTTTTCTTTCTTAGCAGAGGAGTTTGAATAATGGGATTTTTTTCCTTTTCTTGTCTTTCTCTTTGATTATCGAACATATATGTAAAATAAACAAAAAAAATAGAGAGAAATAAGAAGGGGAAGTGCTTACCTCTCGATCATTTGGGATCCCTCGTCGGAGGAGGGCTAGATTAGTTTTCAAGGTCTCGATCGGTTGGTCTTTTAGCCCAAATCGGGGTTCCAAGTTCTAATAGGAGGATTTCGGTTTGTTTCAACCAATATTGGTTTATGATTAAAGGTTTGGAGGCGGTGGTCGGAAGAGTAGATGGCCATCGATTTACAGTGGTCGGCGGCTAGGCGTTGTTTTTTTTTGGTTTCTCTGCCTGATGTAAAAGACGAAGGGGAAGAGTTTTGTTTCTCTCGTTTGAGAGAAAATAAGAAGACAAACTAGCAAGGTTAGCCAAAACGAAAAAAAAACTTATATATAGATTAGGTTTTGGGTAAATTATCCTTTGGTTCTCCTAATTTACCCGTATTTTTACATTTCAACCACTACTTTTATGGTTAAATCACATTTAAATCCTCATATGTTTGCCGCGTTTTGCGTTTTGATCACTGGGGTTTAATTTATTCTTTGGTAAATCACGCTAAGGTTCCTGGACTTTTAGCTTGCTTTTTCATTTAAGCCACTATTCCGTGGGCTAATCACCCATAAGTCCCCTATTTTAGGAGCATTTGTACAGTTTGGTCACTGATCTCCTTTCTTTATTTTTTTTAATTTTTGCACGCTAATTTCTATTTTGTTTCATTATAGTCATTAATTAATTCTGTTTTTATTTTATTTATGAATATATGATATAGTTTAAAATTTTTATTTTGGTCACTGTTTAATTACAATTTGGGTTTTTTAATTTTTGTCCTTTATTTTTTAATACTTTAAATTTAGTCCTTTAATCATTGATCTTTATTTTATATTCATTTCATTTTTGTCCCATGAATATATACGAAAGCCTCATAAGCATAACTCGACCGATTTCATAATTCGACTAAAGGTAGTATTTATTTATTTTAAAATATTAAGAAATGACCGTCTTAAAGTAATTAAATATCCTATTTTACTATTTAAAAAAAATAAATATCCTAATAAAAAGACCTAAAAAACTCGAGTATGCTTAAAATTATCAATATTAAAGGGAAAAGGAAATGTTCTTTATTTAAAAATTTTCAAGACAATCCGTCTAACTTTTATTAAGGATTTGGTCTCGATCTTTTTAAATAATTGAATATCACTTATATTTTCTAATTAAATATAATTGACTTATTTTCTTTATTTATTGGTTGAATCAAATTATTTTAATATTGAGTCATTGGGGAAAATATTATATTCTTTTCATTTCAGTTGGAAAGAGAAATATTCTTCCTAAAGTACTTTAGCGATTATTTTATCTTCTATTGAAAATATTAGAATATTTTTTATTTATCCTTAGAATTTCCCGTTACATAAAATTATGCGATTGAATTTGGAATAATAGTCATAACTTAAATTTATATTTGAATTCTTAAATTTCCACTAGTAGAGACAATTTATAGTCGATGGGGTACCAATTTTGGGCGTTGTAGGGTGCTTATCATTCCCCACACGTAATCGACCCTAAATCCATTTTTATTACTAAAATAGAATGAATTTTTGGTTACACGTAGAATGGTTTATCTTTTAAGATGACATTTTCTTAAAAGCACTTTTAAAAGGAAATTTTTAGGTATTCGACCTACCTAACCCAAAAAGGTCAATGACAACTCCAAAATATTGAAAACCATTTATTTACTTTTTTATCCCAAGAAACATCGTACTCGGCAAAAATCGATTACGACAGCTTGGCGACTTTGCTGTGAATGTGGCTTGTCAAGCCCTAAATTGATTATATATTATCTCTATAGTTAAAAATTGAGATTTCAGTTTTATTTAATTCACGATTCCTTTGATTCCTTTCAATTTATTTTATTTTACTTAATTTTATATCCTTTTATATTAATGTTTGTATTTGATTATTTTCATATGTTAAAATAGCTTTAATTTTATTTTTATGTGATTGTTTGTCAAAGGTTTGAGAATTTCTCCTCACACATGACACTTACATTTCATTTGCATAACATAAGCTCTATATTATAGCTCTTTCCCTTTTAAATGGGAGTAAAAGTGACGTTTTCGTGAGAATTTATTCTCCGTGTCAAACCTAGCAAGTAGCTTTCGTGGTTTATATACCCTATGTCTTCGTGAGGATTTATTCTCCGTGTCAGTCATATGGAAATGTTCCCTCTCGAATTGAACTCAATCCTCTTACACCTATAATGGGTGATGATTGAGGGTCTGGTTCGCCCAAGGGGCACCGAAGAGGTGTAACACCCGTAACCCGTATATTTATACCTATACAGATTATGGATGTCACCCGTATTTTCTAAAACCATTTTACGATTCAAAAGCAATTTAAAATTTATTTTCTTAAAATAGTAAATGATAATATAAAATTATCATATCATAAAAATTACGTTTCGTTGTAACCAATTTAATTCAAAATATTTTTAATTATGAATAGTGAATAGTACCCGAATAGTGCACAGTGAACAGTGGGAGAATCGATTCCCTGTAGTAGGGGAATCGGTACCCCTTTTACAATATGGAAATTTTGCTTAAAAATCGGGGTTACTGTTCATGCTACAGTAACTTCCGAAAATTTACATATAAATTCAAAATAATTCACCTTTCATCACTATAAAAATTTCCAAAATTAATTAAACAAATAAATTGAACATTTTCAAATTACATGCCACTATCAAAAATCAAATTTTACAATAGGATGTCTTACTGATATTGAAATATACCTCTAGATGCTTGATGTCGTTCTGAACTCTTTATTCTTATTCTTTGCTTTTTACCTACGCGTGAAAATCATCACACGCTAAGTATAAACTTAGTGAGGCAATTAAAACATTTAACAGTGCAATACAATTCATGCATGATTTTCAATATCAAAACTCAAATTTCCATAAAACCATTTTTCTAACATATTCAATATTTTACCATGATCAACATAATATAAAATCTCTTACCATTTATTCCATAAGCTCATAAGCTTATTTTACCAAAATACTTACCATTTAAATTTCATAAGCTCGTAAGCTTATTTTTCCAATATACTTGCCATTATTCCGTAAGCTCATAAGCTTATTTGCATGGTTACCATTTATTAACCAATAAAACATAATACATAGTCAATATCCCATATTAAACCTTGAGGACCCTGGGTATTCGAGTAATATTTGCACCGTAGTGCTACACATAAGGTCGTGCCCACCATATACACCGAAGTGTATTACACATAAGGTCGTGCCCACCATATACACCGAAGTGTATTATAAACCTGCAACTGCTATACTCTATGGCATGCCAACTATACCTTGTCCCTCAATGACTTACTTGGGCATATAGTCTATTTTATTCGATCCATCCATGGCAAAGTATATTATCAAATTTAACATTGGGCAGTTCATACCCAAAAACATTCATGGTAAAATATCACATTTTTTTTCATGATCAATGCATTTTAATTTCATACTCTGACATCTCAATGTCAATTTATAAAAAATGATATAAAATCATGCCGATATAAACAAGGTCGACTTATCGCAAGTCTTCCTTATGATGTATAAAGCATCCATGTATAAGTTCATGCATGTATTGCACTCACCTCGACACTTTATGTCTTTCAAAATATTTGTGCCTCACTATTGTCCACAATATACCCTTTTTATACTTGACTTGCTTCAATTGCAAATCAACCATGATCTGTATAAATCATCAATTCATAATAATCCATATGTTAGTATTTTACTAACATAAATACATTCCATCATATCTCCATACTATATTTGAAATTCATCATCTATCAAAAATATTTAACTCTTAATAATTCCTTATAACATTGGAACCAACTTTTCCCATTTACTCAAAATGGTCTTCACCATTTTACCTCTTAAATTCTTAATACCAATAATTCCAACATTGAAATTATTTCCATTCAAATGCTTTTACAAAAGCATAAATACATTTAAGTACCCCAACTATGCAATTGTTGTACTTAAATCACCAATCATTTCAATCTTCCCAAAATAATCAATTTCACATTTAACACTCTTTTCAATTCTCAAACAACAATTCCAGCATAGTACATCAATTATACAACACTTATACAATAACCCATCAATTTTCCAGAATTCAGACAACTCGTACTACCCTTAAAGAATCATTATTCTGTATTGATATAGACACTGGAATTCAATTTCGTTTCTTCCTTAAAAACTAGACTCGAATACGAATCTCTCCATATAAAGAACTCCTTCTAATTCATTCTGTACAATTTATGGTGAATTTTCAAAGTTCACCAACATAATCTGTTTTGTACAGAATTCTGCTGTCCGACTTTTCTGACCTTTCCTCAGTTAAAAATTCATATATATTTTTATACAACTTGAAATTGATCCCCGTTTATTTTAAACAAAACTATATCCATATATGAACACAATATATAAAATTAACCTCCAAATTATTTTTATATATTTTCTGGTGAATTTTCAAACCTACTGTAATTCCCAAAATCTAAACTGTTTTTCTTTAACCTCATCCTTATGTTCTTCATCAATTCATACAACCTCAAAATCATCAATAATCATCATCAATTTAACAACCATAATATAAACCCAAATTTCCAGATTTGGGGATTTTGAAATCAAGCAAGATAATCATGCAATATTGGTACCAAATGATAGCGTATTTCGCAAATAACCATTTTCTATTTTCATCATACTCATAATCCTAAAGAAATGACTTGAAAATAGAATTGAAGCTTTGTTCTTACCTTAGGAGAAGACCACGTTGGCTGGAGGAGAAGATAGCAAATTTGAGTGAAATGTTGGATGCATTTCATCTTATTTTACTCTATATTCCACTTAAATGAATATAATATTCATTTAATTGTGATAAGACCAAATCACCCTTAATGAATTTCCATAATCACCATAAAACCAAGAAATCTGATTATTATCATATTATAAAGTCAAACATAAATTATTTTGACTTTTAATTCCGAATTTCACCTTGAATTTTCAAATCTTGCGTTTTAGTCACTAAATTCCACTGTTTCGGTTAAATCTGGAATATTGCACATTTCCAAACCAAATTTCTCTGATCCAAAATATTAAAATAATATTTCCAACCATTTTATAACATCCTTCAAATTTTTGTAAAATTTTGATTCAATCAGAATTTATCGATTCATTACCGGCTTTAACTATTTCTTTACTAAATTCCAAATCCAACAATATGATTTCCATAAAACTCCAATCTCAAGAGTAAACCATATATTTATGGAATAAAAATC